GTGATTTTTATTTTTAATCAACATATACTGTTAAAATGATAACACAAATAAAATCGTTTGCAAACCTACGGATGTAAATCTCGATGGCATCTTCAGCTGTGAAGGTGTCTTCGATTCCTCGGCATGTGAAAAAGTCACAAAACTGCACAACACCGCTGAAATAACGTACCACTTCATCTGCTCATTAAAGAAAAGGAAGTAAACTCAGAAAGTTACGAATTCAGCTTACTCTCCTACCAAGAGATCATAAGGGGACAGAGGAGACTTCTGGTCCAGCCCTTGGGATATGTCAATTTCACTTAAGTTATTTATGGATAGTCGTAACTGGACCACCCTTTGCGTATGATGACATGTGAGACTAACTATTGACAATCAATAACGTTTACATAGATGTAGCGCAGGATAATTAAATTTGTCCAAAACAACCAAAATTACGAATCCGTTTTTTCTTGTACAACCCTCATTAAATAAAATAAAATATTCCATTTTCTGATCCGTATGCTGCGAGGCGTGAGTCACGTTTTGCTGAATCCGAAACGAGCGTTATGATTTTGTTTTCATGCACATGTCATGCATCGATTTTCGTTTGGCATATAGCCTTTTGCTCACGGAAAATGACTTAAAATGGTTAACATCCGTCCTCTTTCAGTGAGCTTTGGTCGCCTGTGAGTTAGATTGATGTATTGGGGAACAGCTATGATATTTTTTTCCTATTTATATCAAACTGACTTCGGCAAAAAGAAACTACGTTAGGAAACCAAGATGCTTTCCATCTCAAGCTAAAAATAACTTAACTGAAATCGACAAATCCTGGCCAACGCCCTTATTTTCCGTCTCTGTCCCCCTATAACCTCTTGCCCATGCACAATAATGCTTACAAATGCGCAATCACTGTCCTCCTTCGAAAGATCTTAATAAATACTGTTCCTAAATCCAAGTGTAGACGTCAGGGTCCACAAGCAAATTTTAATGAGAATCAATTCAAGATTTTTTAGGAAAGAAGTTAAAAAGAACTTGAAAAAAGTGCTCTGAATTTCGTTTTGTATCAAAAATAAACTGATGTGGTGACTCTGACAAAGTCCTAAAAGCTATGTGATCGTGCTATCTTAAAATACTCGTAGCGGTTTCCATCCACGACTATATATGGCTCCTATCATTCTGTTACTCAAGCCCAAAATAAATCGAAAAAATTGTAGTTTTAGTTAGATCCTTTATGCTAATAACATATAATTTTTCAAATTGTAAAATCCAACCCTTTTCTAAAATCAAAAAAGTAAAATGACTTACATTACCACTCTGCTGCTTTCTCCCACGGTGGTTACACTAATACTAATTTTGAATACTATCTGTGGAGAGAAAACACCTATATTATCTATATTTGTAATGAGACTCATGATTCCTCGTGACAATAAGATGACCGGGTGCACGTGCCCCTCATCCATTTCGAATGGATGAAATCATCAGTTGAATTCGACCAAAACCTAATGCGTTTTATTTGTCTCGTACCTTCGTGACTCTGACGGTGAAAATGTTGCCTTGAAATTTCGGTTGTCTTGTACCTTTAGTACATGTATACATCAAAATAAAAAAGCTAATGGCCAGAGCATATACGGGCCAAATGTCTACGCAAGTAACAAAGTAAAAGTTACGTACCTGCCCGACAATTTCTTGGTGGTTTCGTTGAGTTCCTTCATGTTTCTTCCAGCTGCTGCATCTTCTACTTCCTCTGCTAGTCTTTCTACGTAGCTGCGTTTTTCCGGCTTGACACTTGTCTTTACTTCTTTGTTGATCGCGGTGTATTCTTGGAAAGATGCCACCTCCAATGACTATGTTGTGAAGAGCACAGGTGTCAGAAAATATCAGTTTCGCCGCTTTCGTTTATTTTTCCAAGTCCATGTGTTCCCATCGCTTCTGTGTGGCTAGTATTGCCTGCCCCAATCTTTGTATTGAAGTCTACCATGACTATGTTGACATCCTTTTCTGACAGCTGTTTAACGATGCACTCTAGCCTGTTGTGAAACTAGTCCTTACTTCCTTCTTCGCTATCGTCTATCGTTGGTTGATGCGTAGCATTGTACGACATTCATCTTGATCTGGCTCATCCCGGTTCTGAAGGATGCTGATGGGTGCTCTTTGTGCTGACGTTAGTCTTTTCTGTCAGGACTGCTTCCAGTGGGTTTCGCTAATTCCTAAAACGGAAAGCTGACATTCTTTCATCTCTACTGCAACCCGTGCGGTCTTCCCCACCTACATGGTTTTTACGTTCCATGTACCAATCTTTATGGCCCTGTTTGAGAGAAAGGGGACCGGCCCTACGGCTTCCGTGAAATTACGGCTTTCACCAAATGGCTTCATATGTCTTCTTTATGAAGGTACTTCCTCTTCCAGGGATGAAGTTTGAACCTGTATTGACGTTTCTGTAGCAGTATGGTTTTTCCCAGGGTGGGGTTGCTGACCCCACACCTAACCGGCAAGTGGCTCAAAAGAGCCACTAGGTGGATCCTAAAGAAGACGAAAGAAGACACTTGGTTTGCGGGACATGATTCTGCGGGACCTGAGCTAAAGGTCTTTGTTTCGGTATCAAGAAGAAAAATTTCACCTTATTAGCTAAACAACAAGGCATAACATTCTGAGAGGAACGCGTGACAAACCAATTGAAATATCACAGGGATCCCTAGGTAGCCTACGTGTAGTCGTACCCTCCCCCTCCCCTAAGGTGGGGGAGGGGAGGGGGGTACAGCTACACGCAAGGTACGGCTAAACACGGATCATCGCCGGAGTTTCTTTATCAACGCCACCTCGAAGTTAGTGACCAAGTTAGAGGCCACACGTGATTGATTGATTCAACACTCCAATAGAATCTCCAAACTTTCAGGTCTTAGTTCGCAAATGGAAATGTTAGATCAGGGATTTCGGTGAAACTTTCCAGAGCTCTAGCTTTTTGCGACTGCAAAATTGCAATCCTATCGAGGACGTTTGTGCGAATTTCCTTAATTTAATTAGGCTTCATTGCCAGCTGCTGAGTCCACAGAGACCACGCTCGAGGTCCTCGAGAGCGCAGCTGTTAATTTAAGGAGATACTAGAAGATGCGAATGCCAAGTCCATGGTATTCATAAATCCTGTCATGAAATTATTGTAGTTTACTCTGTATGCTCCACTTGTCACCACCGTATCGGATCGATAAGAGTTTTAATAACTGGGATATGAAAAGTTATCGATTTTGTCATTTTTACATGCGGTTTTCGGTTTTGATCGAATTTTTTTTCGGTTTTGGATAATTTTTTTCTACGGTTTTGCGGTTTCTAATGGGCCCCAAAGCCTCCCTCTTGTATCAAAGTAGATGAAACAAGGGCAGTCTAAGACTTTCATATCCACCTCCAATTCGCCAGTCTGTGGCTCCAATGCACTTGGCTGAGGTCTTTTTTAACATCTCAGCTACGTCAAATGCCATTTCCTTTAAAGGCCTCTGACAGTGGATTGTCCCCTTCAGGGGCAACCAACCGAAAATCAAATCCTTACTTTCTGGTCACAAATGACCACAGAGTGCCGTGATGACAACGTTGCTTCATAGAGGCAATATGGAGCGCCATCTTGGAGTACGACGAAGAATCCTTGGTAGTCTCCTTCAAATAAAGTAAGGTGAAATATCTCGCCATTGGTTCTCTTCCATATTTTCAGAAGTATTTAATTTTCATTGCCATTAAAGCGATTGTCATCTCAGATATCATCAATCACTTCGGCCTCTATCACTTATCGGTAATCTTTTTAAAAACGAAAATCTGATCATTTCGAGGCAAACCGACAGGGTTATAGTTTTGAATACATCCCTTGCAGCAGGGAAGTGAACTTGTAGATTTTAAAGCTGCCCCTTTTCGAGATAAATTATAAGAAAGTTTACTTACCTTTGGACGCTGCTGCTTTTCCGCAGCTTAGAAAACAACACCTGCGTCATTGGCTGAACGAAAACTCGTGACTCCTCGTGACAATAAGGTGACCGGGCTCTCGTGATTATCAGTCCTAGATTAGATTTATTTCGTTCTTGTTCATTCGTCATTGCAATGTCAGAGGAAAAAAAGGGGCCAATTTTCGTATTTTCCGACTTGAAAACAGAATAGCTACCATCAGAGATATGTAGTAATTCGGGGATTTCTTTATTCATATGTTCATGTATGTATCATGTCTATCATTAAATTTATTTTGATATTTATGGGTCGCTTTATGAGAGTTTACTGACTGTTACATGGTCTCGAAAGAGAACTGGATACAAAGTTAGTTCTCAGAAGATGAGCAAGAAGTCGGCCTGTTCGCTTCCTCTGCCAGGAACTCGAGGTATTGCGCACGCAAGATGACAAAAATAGAACCTTACAACATCACCCTGAATCCCACATTAAGGTTTCGAAAATAAAGAAAATGGTCACCAACTAAAGAAGCACTTGATTTTAAACAAATCCCCCCTCAGCACCTTAGGAAATGTGTAGAGAACAGTATGGAGAATATGCATACTGATGTTAGGGTGTAAAGGGTCGACAGGGGGCCAACTTAATTTACACAATTCATGATGAAACTAGTATTAAACCTCAAAAGCGTTACATGTCATGCCCAGCCCCATGCCTGGCTATACTAGAACTAATTTTGCGTATAGAAAAAGCACTACTTCATGAGTTGCTGCTTTTAAATTACACCTTCCTTGGCTGTATTGCAACGACACAAATAAAACAAAAATTAGGGAGCTGCAAAGCACCAACCTTGAGTAATACAGCTCAGTCTACGATGACTTTAATGCTTCAAGACTGTAGTTAGACGCGTTCATGGTCCACCGAAATGACAGACGTTCGAGTCCTTTGAACCTCCAATCATGATAAGATTTAATACGTCGTGCAACTCTCTGTGCCTATTCAACAAGTATCTATTGTGACACTTCGGTAAAGCCTCGATTGCAACTCTGTTCACCTTGCTTTAATTTTATAACATTCCCGATAAACATCTGGTTTTGTATGATGGAGAATGGTGCATCAGAAAGACTACGGATGGTGGTAATGATGATGCTGCAAAAATGTGCTAGAGAGCGCTGCTGATTTAACAAATGTATCCTGAAATAGTATATTAGTCTCTTATTTAAGAAGAAAAACCTCAAAAGAATCATCAATTCAATTACCGTTCACAATGGAAATAAACTGTTGGATTCAAAATTCAATCTGGACGAAGCCCAAGACGCAAAAGATACATGTTGCAAGTGGTTTAATTCTCCTTCTTCAAACATTTTGTAGATTCTTGGCCTATGAGTGATGAATTAAATTGTACAATGAAAAGCCCCTCCAAGGATACATTCTAATCGTATTTCCTTATGCATTCGAGGATATTTTAGGGAAGTACTACAAACTTATTTTGTTACCATACCAAACCCTTGCAGAGGCGGTCTCCTCAGGGGGATGGCTCTAACTTTCCCAAACAGTGACGTTCAGGGGTTTGAACTTCCTCATGAAATGCAGCGCCTACATGATATGCATATATCTGTGAGTCAAGTACCCATCGTGTGGCTGGAGTGACGAAAGGGCTCGTCTATTCAAGCGATATATACCCTTCTAAATGGACTATTTTACCTCACGACTACATTAGTCTAGCTTTGGCTGTAATTCTTCCTTTCAGAGATATGTTTCAATCCATCGTAAGTTTCGACGTCTTTGTGGAAGTTCTGGTTCCAAACGTAGCAGTGAGTTTTGACTTGAAAGAAACCACACTGAGCATCTTTTCTCAGCTAAATAATCAGCCGATGGTCGTCTATCACTCAAGCTTTGTGGGCTGGATGCCGCACCGTGGGGACTTAGAGAGGGCCTCCTAATTCTTTGAAAGGTAATGAGTTCCTTAAACCCTCTTCGAAAGCGCGGATTTCGCGCGCCTATTATGATAGGATTACACACGCTATACAGAAATCCGCAGATGTAGGCGAAACGTAAAAAATGTTGTGGAATCTGACTGGCGTCTGCAAAAAGAGTCAAGATTCCGTACGCGAAAAATGGCGTCCAACAAGCAACAAATGCTGCTAAAACAAACAAAAGGGTGATAATAATCTTTTTCTGTGCTAAGATACCTCGATCATCGATGATAGCGGTGTCACGGATCCGTCTACAATGCAACTTCACCGCCTCTATAATCCTCCAATATAACAATATCATTGCTAAGATGGGAATTGTGTAGACCACGGATATCAGAAAGACCGTATGTGAAATGTCCAATGCACTGCGCGGAAATCGAGGACCACACATATTTGATGATGATTTGTACACGATTTCAGTCCATCCAAAAATGGGACCTATGGAACACGCTAGCGCCGAGACCCATACCACAAGAATGATCATCAGAGAGCGTCTTTGTGTTATTATCATTTTCAAAGGCTTAACAATAGAGAAGTACTTGTGTATACTTATGGCTGTAAGCGTGAAGATGGACGAAGCAAACCAGAAAGGTACCACGAACCCGTTGAACTGACACAGTGGCTTGCCAAACACCCAGCCGTGTTTGAGGAGCGCTACTATCATGAATGGTATGCAGAATAAACAAACTCCTATCCCTGTGATCGCAAGCTGCGTCAGAAAAAGGTTTGTCCGTGTCCGCATTTGGCGATTGGAGATAACAACGCCAACCACGAGGCCATTTCCGATCAAGCCAGCTACAAGAGTCAGGAACAAAATTGCTAGTTGAAAAAAGACGAGATTGTCATAATTCGCCTTTTCATCGTAGCTGTTGATAGTGGAATTGTTCTCTGCTATACTTGTTTGAACTGTCTTCTGCTGATTGAGGGATTTCGCTTCCATTATCACTCGATTCACAGCGTATCATGCGATTCTCAAAAAACTTCGACGCTTATTGAATAGAAAAAGATCTATTATGATTTATAAACTTAATGGCAAGGTGCGCTGATTACAAGAACCGAAATGTGAGGTAACGTGCGCAATACAAGTTTGCGCTTGTCTGTGTAATCGCATTCAAACCATTTTATTTTCACAAAACAGAATCACTTAGAACGCCGGCTTGTTAAACAAACTTTTATCTTTTTGTGTACACACCGCCAGCTATTGACATGAGAATAAAAGAAGAACTGAAAGCAACGCGTTGAATGAGCAATTAGCAGAATAAGGTCCTAACCTCCTCGGTCATTTGAAAGTGAATAATAGGAAAGACCTGAAAATAATTATCTTTTATCCATCTTATCAAGTAACATTATCGTTCAATAGCCAATATCGTTCAAAGATCTTCATTAGAGCAAGATTCAATAATTCGCATAGTTTTTTTTTGTCTGCTACAGAATTAAACATATTATCATTAATTATCATACACTCAGCAACTGAGTATCTTTTGTTGATTTAAAAAATGTATATCATTCCAATATTACATACACTTCACCATGTAAGGGATATCGGAACGCGAAAAATATGCCTCGGTATTACACTGTAGAACAAGGCAAAAATACTGACGGAAGGCGGAGCAACAAAAAAGCCACACTAAATTGTCTCTGTATTTTATTCCATTTGTAGGCTTTTCTGTTAAATAGGGCCGTCGGGTGTTTTTCGTTACTCATGAAAAACACTTCAATGTTGTCGCTAGTGTTGTTTTTGTTTTTCGCGCACGGCTTATGCGATCTTTAAGATGTTTAGGATATATTTCGAAACGCAGAAGCCATTATACTGGAAAATAAAATAACCGTGAAACAATCAACTTCCTTTCAATAATTTCACATTTGATACGAGCAGAAATTTTGCTCATTGTTCGTTTTTTAACTCATCACTACTGGGCTCGGAAAATTACTACGCAACTCGCAAAATATCTGCGCGAATAATTCATTACATCATCGAATAAGGTGAAGATATTTCATTGTTACTGATTGGTCATTCGCTGTACAGATTTTCATTATCATCATCATTATTATTATCATCCTGGAGCCCCCGAGCTATAACCTCAAATATCACTTTACGCTTAGCAATATGAAATTCTTGATTCAGGCTGTTCAGAGACGTTTTTGACGGTTATGGTCGAATACACAGTTCCTTTGCTTATTCGTCATAAACAAAATGGTCGGAGGCCGCTTAGTGACGAGTGCACTGACGTAAAAAAAAAAAAAGAAAAAAGAAAAAAAAAAAAAGAGCACGCGAGCGACGAGAGTGTTAAAAATCGAACGCACGTGCTTTCTACAGCTTTTGACGAGAACTGCTTTGTGTGACTCGTCATGCAGAGTCGATTGATCAATCACAGTTGGAAACAAATAGCTGATTGAATCGCTTTATTGATAAGTATGAAAAATATAAAAAAAGCTTTTTAGTCTTTAACCTCGCAGCTATTGTAAGAAGTTGGGTTAAAAATCAGGGTACAACGTTCAAAGTCTACGCGTGACACGCATGCAGCTCTATGTCACGCAAGTACCGTTGAATAGGTGCTTTACGTAAGCAACAGCTTTTGTGTCTGGTCTCAAAAAAAAAAATCCAGACAGTGTGTATTGAATTCGAAATGATTTCCAATTTCTTGCCTCGTGAGGACGGAATGCATCTGGGATATTCTCTGTGTGTGAGGATTGAATGATGGATTTTCTGTCGCTCTCGTTGGGTAAGTTCCTTGACCTTGCTTCAATTTTAAAATCTTTTCTCACGTGGCGTTTGAACTATATTGAAAGCCGGTAAATGGATGAAAAGCTGAGTCATGAAACTTCGCACACTCGACAAAATTCGAAAGAATGATGTGATATTTTTAATGAATTTTGGTTCGTTATTTGCCTATTCTTATCACGAATAACGGTTTTGTCTTTAGATTGATATAATCTTTTCGCCTGAACTGAAAAGCAGTTATTTCTTCGTCGATTCGTTACGTAAGGAGCGTCTGATATTGAACCTTCAACCAACATTGGCAAGAGTTTATGAAGGACTTAGGCACTAGGCTTGCAAATAAGCTTATAGCGGAAACATTTTAGATTAAAATTCAACCATCTGGATCGATAATTTTTAAGCCAATTTACGATGCACGGCTGCGATACTTACTTCAGTGCCATTAACTAGCATTAGAGAAGCGAATTCGAAATAACTGTTACCTAATAAAATTGATTTAGCTGTACAGGAAAATTGAAATCATACGGTATATGTTTAACCCCTGAACACTCACCGAAGGTAAATTTATGCTCTCAAAATTTCTCTTCATCCGGCGAGCAGAATATTTTTTTAGTTTTCACGGTATTTGACTTTCTCGAAATGTTATGTAAAAATATGTTGTAGTTCCTGTCTCTTCGAAGTCGGAAGTGTAAGATATACTAGATTCACAGACAGGATGGAGAGAGAATTTAATGTATCGTGTTTTAACCGACGTCGAAGCTTTACAATCGTTTGCATAAATGCCACGTTTCGATGTTGCATCTTGTAAGAAACTTAGAAATGACGTCCTGCTAAGCAATTCTTCAAGTCTTATTCCATACTGTGATGTCGAAACCACGATCCATCTTATAGCTGTTGGTTTAAGACAGTTGTTTGAGACCCGTATATTATAACAAGCTATCGAATCCAATGAGAAGTTTCTCTTTGTAAACAACTCAGTATGGTAACTTTTTTCCCACACAGCAAACTATGAATACTCGAACTCACTGTTTATTGTACTGAATATCTACTTGCAAGTTCACAAAATAGGATTGCCAATACTCATTTAACGTAACTTCCTTGTTTAACCAGTATAGATATATTTTAAGCCAGCAATAAAGATATGCAAAATGAAACTTTTGCTAATTATTAATAACAATATACATTGACAAAAGCTAGCTCTCTCACTGAGCTCGCAACAACTTTTAACACAACAAGACAAGAACATTAACCATCATGACCATTCCAAGATGGCGGCTGAAAAATGAAATCACTTCATGTTCAAACCAAACAGGACAGCCATAGCAACACCCAAATACGAATCCTCCATAAGGTAATTTTACAGAGCTTCATCTAGTCATTTTTTAACTGAGAAGATGTGATTTAAAATTTGAAAAACTTACGGACATTTATTTGAGTATAGGTGAATGACCGTTGGTATATGTCCGCAAACTTACGGGCTCACGTGAAATATGAACAAGTTGATGCCTTCAGTTTGCAAGATGCATGAGTCAAATTCACTTGAAATTTTCATTACGAACTATTTGAGCCATGTCATTACTTTTCATGAGGATTATCTTGGCTTTACTGTGATGTTTGGTTTTGATCGCCATTTTGGAGGCGGTTTTCTTTGCATTAAGGTAACTCCAGAACTAGGGTGATTAACCTAGCGAGCGTCACTTTTTCTTGCTGTGAGTCGACAGAATTTGACGACTTTTTGTTGAAAATTATATTTATTATGTAGCAAGGATAGTAATGTTCACTATTCTAAAAGAATCATGCACTGGACATGAATGATCTCGTTTATTTTTATGAAGCGAAGCAAGATTGTGGCACTTCATGCCGAACCTTTTATGGTATTGACAACACCCACTCTTAGTAGCTTTTGGTAACCTTTTCCTCTTGTGGTGTCAAATCCTTCGTGATCGTTTGGTAATTCCATATCATTTCGGCGTGAATATTTTCTCTCGTTTAGTCCGGGATATAATAGTGGACAAGAATGTCTTTAGACACCTGTCCGATGCATTTTCGATCAAGCCGGCCGATTTAGCGGGCTTTTGTTCCTGGCTAGTGAACCTAAACCGGCCCAACTTTCATCTATCAAGAAAAATTATCTCGCGGAACTTTGTTTGACACTCACTGACAATTAAAATAAAGCTTTGTGTAGCATTTCGTTACCGTGGCAAGTTGGCTGACTTTCGAAAAAGGTAAACATATTTTAATCCAAAATACTTGATCAACATCAAACACTGCGTTATTTGGAAGCGTGACTGCCGATTTTGGATCTGAAAGATCGAGATTTATCGATCATTTTTGAGAACATAAAAACATTGTAATGTACTCCGAAACGCACTGAACTACTTTATTTAAAAAATGTTCATTTCAAAATACTTTGGTTTAGAGGTAACAAATCCAATTTGGTGAGGTTCTGTCGACAATTTATTGCAAACCTGATAATATTTTTTCAAACAAAAGAACTGACATATTAGTAAAATCTTTCAAAAAGTTTTATCCGAACCCCCCGCGCTTAATCCTGGATCCGCCTCAGTCCTATTCAAGTCTGTTGGTCAATGCTCTTAAATCTGTGACCCTTGAAGCAAAAGCTACTGAGCAGAATCTTTAACTCCGCAAAAGACGGAGGTAGTTACAGTGTCGGCTCGATCTTGCGTTTTGTGATAGCAATAGTAATATAAAGTTGTTGTATTAAGATACTTAAGAAAAAAGCAACGTGACAAATAAAAAAGCTTATTTTTCAAGAAGAGCATGAGAGCAAACCCCACAACTAATTGGTTCTTAGTGGCAACCCTACAATGTGATTGGTTCTTTGTGGCAAACCCTACAATGTGACTGGTTCTTAGTGGCAAACCCTACAATGTGATTGGTTCTTGGTGGCAAACCCTACAATCTGATTGGTTATTAGTGGCAAACCCTACAATCTGATTGTTTATTAGTGGCAAACCCTACAATCTGATTGGTTCTTAGCAGCAAACGCTACAATCTGATTGGTCCTTGGTAGCAATCTCTACAATCTGATTGGTTCTTTCCTCCCTAGTTACGCGCACAGTCAAACGCCCCAATGTTATCTTCATTTACTTTACTAGCGCACAAGTGAATGCTAGTAAATCATAATGAATTTTTTATAGTTTGTTCGGCGCTTAAGGGTGTCCACTCATTATCTATTGCATCTCTTGCTGTACAACTTGAATTTTGATGAGCCAATTTCTAAGGAATCATCGGTATATTTATTTTTTTGGTAGAAGAGGATCTGAAGTGCTCTTTGGGAAATTATCGAATGAATCTGCCCTTTTTCACCTCCTATGGTGTAAAAGAAGCTTAACTGTGTTCATTTGTTTACCAAATACTATATTTGTGATAAATAGTTTGGTTCATCCGATGGAGGAAGTATGTGATCATTTATTATCATTGATCATTAAAACATTATTTGGCAATATAATTATATACTGAAGAGCATAATAAGAAAATAAGCCTCAGAGTGCGATGAAAAAAGTAGTTTAGGACCAGCACTGCATCCGCTGTAATAAAAAAATGTTCTGTTCTCTCAGACCAGTGTTGGTCAGCTTGTTCTAGCAATTCGTTTTTGTGTTTCTTTTTTTTGTTCCTTTCTCATTTCCTTTTAGGAATTTTCCAACGAGAATTTACTTGTTTTCTTATCTTTTGTAAATAGAACCCTCCTTCAGTTTACCAAAGGAAATAATTTCATCCATTGTATCATTTCGTTGTTATTTCAGGATTTCATGTTATCCTTTATTGTTATAAAACTATTTCATAATTTGTATTTGCAAGTCAGTTCTCAAGTTTTATTCAAACTAAACCTTTCTATTTACAAAGTGCATTGAACTTCACATTCTATTTCTTCATTTTCCTACTTTTCTCCATGGACAAAGGCGTCACCTCTCCTTGCCGGTTGAAAGTCAACATCTGTGGGTCCCGTAGGCATGTCGTTTTGTATATAAAGTTATCATGGTTTATCCCCAGAGTAATAAAATTTAGTTGTAAGAATATCTAAAATGCGATGTAGCCCTGACTAATAAAGTGTCTAAAAAAGGAACTATTTAAAGT